AAAAAAAAACATGCTAGGGCTACTTTTGAGTTTACATACGACACATTTTCTTTTTTGCCTTGGCTGTTAGAAAGATCTGGTGGGAGTATTAGTGGAATCAAAATACTTCAGGAGTTTGTCCTATAAATTCTCAATAGCAACTAAATTTTACCTATAGGTGATATATTTACTTTCATGATTTGGTTTACATTATAACTCTTAATGCAGTATATCTTTTTACACAGAAGTGTACATATTATATATAAAAATTAAACCTCTAATCCTGACTGAATTCTAGAATATAAAGAAAATTTTATATTTTTCCAATTAAGTATGCTTTTTATCTTACTAGTATAATGACTTGATGAAGAAGAAGAGAATTGTAGAAAATGACAAATCCAAAATCCTTGCAACTATAGAAGACCTTGACCAGAAGAAAAACCAAGCCCTAAATATTGCTTGGCAAAAGGTATTTGAACCAAAAATATTATCATTTATTCTATATGAGGAAAGGATGAAGAATGGTCAGTAGGTTTATACACTGAGATGAATTTAAAATGGATGATTTGCACACACTCATGCTTTAATTAAAACCTTCTAGACTTGACTGCTACCGATTTGCAAAGGTAAATTTGTGTCCCTCCATCATACTCTCATAGTCTACTTCTCTGGTTCCTAAGTTATATTAAATTCCTAACTTTCTAGATTTCTTTATTTTTCATTCTTAACCTTGTTTCCACGTCTGTGTTACTTTCAAAGGAGATACCATTTGTCTGAAACCTTAGATTCTGTCCGATTTTTGCCATACCCCACTGCTGGGAAGCTGGAAGCAGTCTCAGTTTCGCACTGGGGAAGCTCTGCTTGTTGGAAAGCACCTCCCAAGGACCCCTTTGGTTCTAACTTCCTTGGTTTCTCTGGCCCAGGCTCAAAGAAGTCAAATATTCCTTCTCAGAACATTACTCTAACAAGATTGGCATATTCCTTACCACTTACAAGTTATTAACTGCATTTCAGAATTCATAATTATGCATTCTGTAGGTTTTTAGCAAAGCATTTTATACGTAAATTAACAATTCCATAACTGATAGTTAGCCATCCATATTTTATAGATGAAAAAATCAAAGCCTAGAAAGTTGAAATAGCCTAAGATCATATAGCCAAAGGTGGAAAAACTGGAATTCTCTTTTTCTAGATTAGAACCAAAGTTAAAATTGCCTTTAGTTGCTAACTGCTGTCACCCTTGTTGCCCTTAAAAGGGCAGTAAGCAAGGAAGTTTAGAATTCTTTCACTGGACTGTCATTCAGCAAAATCCTAAGTGCCTTTTTTGTTTTATCTTATGACAACTTTGGCAGATTTCAAGATTCTTTACTATTATTTCTACTTCCCTGACTGCATGTATTTGTCTCCTGTAGGATAATTCCTTAGCCTCTTATGTGGAAGTTTTCCTGTATCTGTCCTAGCAAAAGACTCTCAGCCAAAAGATTCCAAACATAGTTACCGTGCTGTTTGGTACTTCAACAGTCCCATGCCTCTGGGATTTAATTGGGCACCTCGCCTCTTTTTTTGCTTTTTAATTCTGTAATTATTCATAATTCTGAAAAATTCATTTTCAGTAATGGCAGCATAATTATCCCTTTTAGTCACCTTGTTTTTACTACTCTATAACTTATTTTCAGTGTTCCATCTCTCTGTGGTGTTTGTTTTAAAATACATGCAAAAAGTTGGTCCCATTATTCTTGTATAAATGTGGACTTAACACTGGATCTGAGAGGTTTTGTCTCTTGTTTTCCCCATGGGTCCTGGACTTAGTGCAAATACAGATTTATCCTTTAAATTGATGTTCCCCCAATTTCCAAGGTTCTCTCAAAGCAGGTAAATTTATTGAATACTTATTATATGTCAAGTACCATTCTCATATTAATTTTCTCATTTAATCCTCACAATAACCTATTGAGGTAGTAGTGTTATTATTAGCATTATATATTTCCTTCTGGCTTCTAGCACACTTCATTCAGAAAGCCAGAGTATTTTCGGCATTGGCTATGTTTATTTTTCTGTTTCCTTCTTAACGTATTGGATTTTCAGAATTTGATTGCATTTCACCTTTATATCTGTCCATGAATGTAGTGCATTTTCTATCTTGAATAGGGCTGTATTCTTCTCTGCCCATTAACTGATAAGTTTCTCTTTTACCCTTTGGAGGAATTTCCACATGGTATCCATGGTCATGTTAAGGGTTTAGTAGTAGTCTACTGTTTTAATCCTCTGTTTAGTGCTTTTCTCTTGCCTGGCCAAAAAATTAAAGAAAAGAAAAAGAACCAAAGGTGTTTATAAATGCTGCTATCTTTATCATTCCCAAAAAAGACAGTGGTCCTCTCCATTGTGATGAACCTCACCTAGCTCTAGAAATCTATCCCAGATAAAACTAAAACCTATTAACTCTGTGTAGAATATTACTCAGCATGTAATGCAGTTGCTCTTAAAACTGTATTCCTTAATACATCTATATTCAGTAGCACTGCTTGATTGTATCTGGATCTCATTAGTACCAATATTCATGCACTTGAATTTGGGAATTTCTTTGGAGAACATGACTGTCAGATCCTCATGGGTTTGTGCCTGTGAATGTATACACTCAAATTTGATGAACGCTAAGATTATTAGTTGTGTATTTGAAAATTCTCAAATCATTGATCAAGTGTGTATGCACAGAAATTACCCAATCACAATTCAAATATTGACTTAAATCTCTAGGTAAATCTGTGGCTTAATGGGGATAAACCAGACAGCTTCTTTAGCCTTTTTCTGTTGGGGTCCAGTCCTGCTCCTGTCTTTTGACAACTTCTTTGGCTGAGAAGGAGCCTACAGAAAAGGACCATTCAACACCTTGAACAGATCTGGCGGTTTGATTTCATGCCTCTTTTTTTCCTAGACTTCACCTTGATCTTAGGCTTTTTAAGGTTGGCTGATAACCACTGGCCTATCAAAACAGTCAAAAGAAAACAAGTTTTTATAAGAGAACATTTTATGCCAAAAGAGAGTTTTCCTTTTCTGCCTCTCCCATCTGCAACTTCAGTTTCCTATATTATACAGTTGTGTGTCTCTGAAGATTCCTGTAATATAGCTTACAAAAGTATTAGAATTCCAGGATAGAGTTAGAAGTATAGCCTGTAGTTCCCCTTGGAAGTTAGAGCAGAGCTCAGTAAATTTTTTCTGTAAAGGGGCAGGTAATAAATAATTTCTGGCTTTGTGAGCCATATAATCTCTGTTGCAATTACTAGACTACTGTTTTAGTGCTAACAGCCATAGACAGTATATAAATGAGTGGGCATGGCCAGATTTGTCACATGGGCCATGATATGTCAAAACCTGAGTTAGTAACAGACAACAAAATGCATCTGCTAGATTGAATATATACATACCAACATTTGATTATTCTTGGAAAGCTTTCTATATTATTTTAATCTTTTTTTTTTTAAATCCAGGTGAACAAGGACTTTGGGTCTATTTTTTCTACTCTCTTGCCTGGTGCTAATGCTATGCTTGCACCACCAGAGGGGCAAACTGTATTGGATGGTTTGGAGTTCAAGGTTGCTTTAGGAAATACTTGGAAAGAAAACCTAACAGAACTTAGTGGTGGTCAGAGGTAAGCAATCCCTTTGCAGTATTATAATTTCTCATTCCTCTTATTGTATTATAATCCATCATGATCTCACAGCTAAGCAAAACAAAATTGAAAATTGGTAGGTAATCTTTACATGTAGAATTTAAGGAGCTTTATATGTAAGACTGCAGATTTTTTTAAAAAACATTTGATTAAAATAATAGGCAACAGGGGTCCTGGATGCTTGGTTGAGCATCCAACACCTGATTTCGGCTCAGGTCATGATATCAGGGTCATGGGATTGAGCCTCACATTGGGCTCCACACTCAGTTGGGAGTCTGCTTGGGATTCTCTCCCTCTCCGCCCGCTTGCATGTGCATGCTCTCTCTCAAATAAATAAATAAACCTTTAAGATAGTAGGCAACAAAGGAGAAATAAGGGTAAGCGATTAGAAAACTAGATAAAATATATGAAAAACAACTGTTTTCAGACTTTGGGAAATGAATAGGCCAAGAATATGATACCTGAGAGCAATGAAACAAAACTGCTGAGCTCAGTGTTCACCCCAGCTTTCTCCATAGGAGAATTTCTGGTTTGCAGGTGCAGGGAGGGGAATCCATATGAAGCCTAGTAGTCTCACTAAGTTAAAGAAACAGATTAGAATTTTGGGAGGCCCCTGCTTAGCATTCAGTCTGTACTGTTCCCAAAGTGAAAGCTACTCTACACACACAGCAGAGTTCATCACATACCCTGAAGAGAGCAAGCTGATCCTCATGTAACTTGAGACTCTAACATAACACAGTGTCTGGCATCTGATAAAAAGCACTGGACAGAAATCAAGAAAATGTGACTTATAGCCTAGAGAGAAATTATTCAATGGAAACAGACCCAGAAGTGGCAGGTGATAAAAATAGGAGACAAGGAAGTTATAGAATTATGTTAGTTATTTCCAAGAATTACAGGGGAAAAAGAACCTAGTGGAATTTCTGGAGATAAAAAAATATGCCTGAAAGGAAAAGTTCACCACATGACATTAACAGATTAGACAGTGTAAAAGAAACATGAATGACTTTGAAGGCACAGCAAATAGAAACTATTAAAGCTAAACTGAGAAACACAAAACTATAAAAACAGAGCTTCAGTGACTATCAAGCCGTCTAACATACGTGTATTTGGAGTTCCAAGAAGAAAGGAAGAGGCAAAACAGAAAAATACTTGAAATAATGGCCCCAGATTTTCCCAATTTGATGAGTTCTATAAACCCACAATCTTCATTTCTGTGAACGCTCGCTCGGTAGGATAAACACATCCCCTGCCCCCCCCCCACATACATACAATAACATAGCAAAGCATGTTATATGAAATTGTGATTTTTATATGCCAATGATTAGAAAAATCTTAAAGCAGCAAGGGACAAAGAGAAAAACGACTTCGGGCTTATTGTCAAAACTGTGCAAGCCAGAAGTCTGGAACAACATCTAGAAAGTGCTAAAAGAAAAACATGTCAACCAAGAATTCTATGTCTAATTGAAATATTCTTTAAATTGAAGTCAATATAAATATTTTTTTCAGAAAAGCAAAAGCTGGAGGAGTTTGATCCCAGCAGAACTGTACAAGTTAAAGGAAGTTTTCAGGTGAAAGGAAAAGGATTTACCAGAAGGAAACTTGGATCTACATAAAGGAGTGAATTCAGATAATCAGCATACTAAGGAGAAACTTAAGAGGTCATGTGGCCTCCCTCCTTACCTGCTGCAGAGAACCAAATAATTAAAACCTACTAAGAGAAAATCGTGAATATTCACATTAATTAAAGATGGTTATTATTTATTTTTCCCTTTCAGGATGTGCAATCCTAGTCCTTAAATTGTTCTCATGTGCCATATGATGCCATCATGTTACTCTTACATATGTAGAAAATACTAAGACCTGTTTTTCCTTGTGAAATCCTTTGTCATTTTTATAATTAGAATAGTGGTCCCTTGATTTATTTCATTGTAAGATTCCTAAATATTTTAACAGTATAAGACACATTCTGGTGACTATTAAAATTGAATTCCACAGTTCAGATCCCAATATCTAACTTTTTTTGCCAAAGTCCTAGAAAATATTTTGAGGAAAACCTAAAATTTAGTATGCTTATTTTCTTACTGGACCTGAAAATTATTTCCATAATTAAGATACAAAATTATTTTTAGATATATACCATTATTTTAGATGTATATCCAGCACAATAGTTTTAACTCTTGGTGAGATATTTTTTTTCTGAAAAATTAAGTTGGAAGAAAGCTCAGTGCCATAAGCATTTGGCACAGAGAAGGCCAATGAAAAATAATTTTAGGTTGCTTGAATGACCTCAGCTCCCCTCTATTGAGGTAGAGTCAGTCTCACTGTTTTTTGCACTGTTTCATACATTTCCCTTGCTAGATATTTTGGTTTCACCTTAAAAAAAAAAAAAGCTTTTTTAAATAAAATGTTTAAGAAAAAAATATAAGAATTATTAGGATTCTGAACAAAACCAGCTACAGTTACAGGGGATGGTTAGCTAGAAGAGAACTGAAAAAGACCTATAGAATCTGAGATGCCTAACTACAAATTTTAAATAAGGTGTATTATTAGGGTTCTCCGGAGAAACAGAACCAGCAGGGCGTGTATGTGTATGAAGAGGTTGTTTTTTAATAAGGAATTGGCTCGTCTTATTGTGGAGACTGAGAAGTCCCACAATTTGTTGTCTGCAAGCTAGAAATCCAGGAGGGCCAGTGGTGTAATTCAGTCTGGGTGTGAAGGCCTGAGAACCAGGAACACTGAGGCAGAATATCCATGTCCCAGCTCAAGTAATGAGGCAGGAAAAAACAGATTTTTTCCTCTACCTTTCTTAATATTGAGTCCTTCAGCAGACTGTGATGTCCACCCACATTGGAGAGGACAAACTGCTTTACTGAGTCTTCCAATTCAAAGGCAAATTTCACCCAGAAATACCCTCACAGACATACCCAGAAATAAAGTTCAGCCAAATATTTGAGTACTCCGTAATCCAAATAAGTTGACACACAAAATTAACCATCACATAATAATTGTTTGAACTTCTGACACTGGGAAGTAATGGGCTATAATCTATACAACTTACTCTTAAATGGTGCCAATAAGAATGTGTGTGTATGTACTCATAGATGCATGCATAGTAAAAGTTTGAAAGAGGGCACCTAAACCAGTCACAGTATCACCAAGCACTAGCGGTTGTCTTAACCAGTAAGTATATGGCCCTCACTCGCCTGCTACCTAGGCATCTAACAGCAATTGGGGAAGGAAAGAGAACACTTAACATGATCTTTCCTTAAGAGTAAGTGCCAGTTATCCTGATTCTTTGATTGGAAAGAATATAAACCTGTAAAATAAAACTCCATTGAAGAGAAAAAAGGAAAAGCTAAAATAAGAGAACCATTTTAATACAGCAAAAATGTTGAAGTTTGAAACTTAAGATTCTTTATTTCTATGGTGATCTTTCAGTTAAATCTGCACTATTCCATAATAAGAGGATAGCAGATTTGCTTCAGTGTTTTGGTAAAGAGTGGTAAAGTCAACTTTTGATAACTTCTTTTTTGGTCTTTTTTGCAGGTCGTTAGTAGCTTTGTCATTAATATTATCCATGCTCCTCTTCAAACCTGCTCCAATTTATATCCTGGATGAGGTAGATGCAGCCTTGGACCTTTCTCACACCCAGAATATTGGACAGATGCTGCGTACTCATTTCACACATTCTCAGGTAAGAACCAGAAAAGACGTCTCCGGGATAGTGTTAGTTATTTGTTCTTCTGAAACTGTTCTTTAGTAATGGCCAATATGAAGATATTTAGGATTGAGAAATATTAAAGTGTTGTGTATCTCTTTAAATATATAGTGAATATTTACATATACTTACATTCAAATGGACATAGGAGGAAAAAAGGTTTGGTTTCCTATTAAAGAAAGAGCCAGGCATTACCATTGTTGGTTGTACCCTGAGGGAGAATCTTAAGTTTCCCATAATTTGGAATTAATTTAACACTTTTTTTTCTCTAGCTAGCTGCCAGAGGATACACACCCAAAGCAAGACTGTTTTAGGAAATCAGAAAATCATGTACTTGATGGGGGCACTCGTCATTTTTCCTGGGTAGGAAATAGAGAAAAGCCCCTTTAAGAACAGTTTGTTTTTTATTGAACTGTTGCTGCAGGAACTGGGGCTGCCACACATGGTTATATTGATAATGCACCGTACAACTCCGGGGGCTTTACTTATCGTAGTTATCACAGACTATTATTATGGTAGTCTTTTTAGCAGGTAACAGTGAAGTGGTACCCTTTCTTAATTCTGTAAATGTTCCATCTGACCTAGTGGTAGTGCGTGTAGGAACTAGTAGCCTTCTTTGATACTCTTAAAATATCAGAGAGAAGGCTATTTCAGCGGGGCATTTAGAGCTAGCAGCAAAACAGTGATGCCAGCTAGCTGCAGAGGACAGCAACAAGCAGTAGGAATTAGTAAACCTGGGTGATGACGCACTCCAGGTAAAATTAAGAGACTCCTAAAACCAAATTTAGAAAGCTAGAATTCATCTAGGTGCCCAATATTAGAACTATTTGTTACTTGCATTTGAGGATGGTGCCTTCGCTTTGAGCCAAGCTTTGAAAGAAGTAACAAAATCAGCATATCTCCACACAGTTCTTAACCCCAGAATAAAAACAGGAGTGCATTTCTTCAGCTTACAAAAAGTGTCTTTTATGTTTTCTTTTTTTCCCTTAAGTTCATTGTGGTGTCACTGAAGGAGGGTATGTTCAACAATGCAAATGTCCTTTTCAAAACCAAGTTTGTGGATGGTGTTTCTACAGTAGCCAGATTTACTCAGTGTCAAAATGGAAAGATTCCAAAGGAAACCGCATCCAAGGCAAAAGGACCCAAATGACCACATCTGGAAGTTAAAAGTACAAATTTACTCCTTCACCTTGACCTGTTTTTTAAACAAAGAACTTTGGCTTTACTTATTTATGTAAAAATGTAATGTTTTGTTACTTAACCCGTATCTTCTCTTCCTTTATGTAATCACTTATAAATGAGTATAGATTCCTCTCTTCTTAATTAGTGTAACTGTGGTCCAATTACTGTGATTGTGATTTTATGCATGTCCTCAAACGTTTTCTTACACAATTCTTTTATATATATATATTGGGGAGCCTGAGATACATGGTTGGTGGGTAAATTCTGTTTGCAAAATTAAAAAATCAAAGAAACAGATGAAATTAAATTATAGGATAAATATAGCTGATAGTCAGCTTTTAATTAGTTTAATTCCTAAGGTAATATTAGTGTGTTTTCTGTTGTTAAGAAAGTCATTTAGGTAAGGAAGACTTATAAAGCAAGTATCTGGACCAACAATGGGAACACAAAGGATGCTGTTAGGCATGCAGGAGCTGTTTGTGGTTAGTTCTGTGAAGATACAATGCCAGAGCCCTGATGTAGACTCAGTGATGTTTGGATATCATGTTTCTATATGCTTAGTAATTGGTCTGTGCAATCTTAAGTTTTTCAGAAGTCTTCACCGGTTTTTAATAGAAGTCTGGGAGAAGGTCTGTTGCATGCTGCCCTCCACGTTTATCTGAAGTCTCCTGTTTTCAGAGATTTTTGTCAGGCTTTTCATAGTCCAATCAGTACAGTCTATTGGTGAATGAGAATGTATTTATTTTCCTTCATTCTTATACATTTATAAAAAGATCCATCTATTTTACCAAAAGAACTCAAAATTTGTTGATTATTATATTTCTTAATGTCTTCTGCTTTCCAGTTCAAAAGGTTGAAATTCCTTTTCAAAAGAAGCACTACCATCCACCATAAGATTACTATATGTAGGTCCTGTTATCTCTAGGTACATCGCCAGAGCAGTGTCTCCAAACTTTGAATCTTGAAAGCCCTCATATGATCTAATCCCATCTTGAGTATGTTATTTTGGCCCCACATCCCTTCTTGATACTTGAGTCTTATTAGTTCCTTTATGTTATCCTTCCCCTATATATGCTTATAGTTCTTGGCCTTGGCTTTAACATTTCTCATCCTTCCTTCTCATGTCAGATAACACATCGGAAAGGATTGAATCTGGAGTTCGTTCTTGTCCATTGTGGGAGGAGAGGGAGACAAAGCTGTAAATGCTGAAGTACAGGAGGTCTAATACCACATATGAGACAGACAGGAGTTTATTTTCTCTCAAATGCATTGCAAATTGTTTGCCAGTCAGTTCACACTTGCAGCAAGGTCACATACCTGTTGACCACAACCCAGTCAGCACTGGCTATTAGTTTTATTACTTCTGATTTGCTAGTTATAAAATGGTACTTCATTGCTGTTTTAACTAGCACTTTCTCAATAACTTGTGAGGTTGAATATTTTGCCATACGAACCAGTTTTCTTTACTGCATATTTTCTGTGTTTGCTTCCCTAATTTGTGTCACATATAATCTTGCTCTTGGATGAAAATCCTCAAACATTAAATTTTTGTTGAGTCATGTTGTTCATATTCTTTGACTAGAAGAAGACATGAAGGGGAAATGAGGACATTTATTTCACAGATCTGCAATAATAGGAGTAACTGACATTTACTGAGCTCTTTTCTACATCAGATGCTATTCTCATTTGCACATGTTCTCACATTTGAGGTAAGTACTGTTGATCAGCATTATATATTTGAGGAAACTGAGCAGACAAGTTAAGAAACTTGTTCACGGTGGCAACACAGTTAGAGGCAGAGCCAAGATACCAGTCTTGGCAGCTGGTCTGCAGACTCTCTGATAGATTATATATTACCCTTCTGAGAGGTGGAACATTTGTGTGTGTTGTACGTAATAAATTTAAGACCCACCTCGATGAGCAGTATGCAAAATGTGAGAAAATTATTTTAGGAAGAATGTCAAACATTTGAAAAGGATTCCTTTTTTTTGTTGGGTTTGGGCATTTCAGGTACACTAACAAAGGCAAAAGCAAAAATTTGAGAATCCCTTTTCTAATATGGTGAAGCAATCAAATAGGCCAGCCACTTCCACAATCATATCATCTGCAAATCGGGGCAGGTTTTCTTCCTTTTCGATCTGTGTGCCTTTTATTTACTTGTCTTAACTGCCCTGGCTTGAGGTTCCAGGCCAATGTTGTGTAAGAGTAATAATGACAGCTGGCATATTTACCTTTTCCCCAGAATTCTGAGGAAAGCATTCAGTCTTTCACCACCTAAATGTTAGCTGTAGGCTTTTGGTTTACATTCTTTATCAAGATAAGTTTCCTTCTATTCCTAGTTTGATTGCTTTTGTCATGGATGCGTTATTGAATTTTCATTGCCCTTTCTGCATTGATTGATATGATCATGTAACTTCTTTAACCTGTTTATATTATGAATTACATTACATAATTTTTGAATATTAAACCTACCTGGTATTCCTAAATTAAACCCCATTTGGCCATGGTCTATAATTCTTTTTATGTATAGGCATACCTTGTTTTATTATGATTCACGGATAACTGCATGTTTGTTTTTTTTATACAAATTGAAGGTTTGTGGCAACTGTGCAGCAAGCAAGTCTGCCAGCACCATTTTTCTGACAGCCTTTGTTCTCTTTGAGTCTGTCAGTTTGGTAATTCCCATGATAATTTCAAATTTTTTCATTATTTGTTATGGTGATCCGTGATCAGTGATTACAACTCACTGAAAGCTCAGATAGATGATGGTTAGCATTTTTTAGCAATAAGGTATTTTTTAATTAAGGTATATGCATATGCTGTCGCACATTTAATGACTATTATAAATATTTTTATATGCACTGGGAAACCCCAAATTTTGCCTTGTGATACTTGCTTTGTTGTGGTTGTATGGAACAGAACCTGAAATAGCTCCAGGGTATGCCTTTATTACAGGATTCTGTTTGCTTATAGTTTGGTCATGATTTTTGTGTATGTTCATGAAGAACTTGGACCAGTATGTTTTCTTTTTCTTTTCTGTTTTTCCCTACTGGCTTTCTTTGGTTTTGGGATAATGCTACCTTTATAAAATGAATTGGGAAATGTTCTTTCTTCCATTTTCTGTAGAATCATATAGAATTTTTCTTAATCCTTTAAATATTAGCATTTTCCTGTGAAACTGTCTGGGCCTAGAGATTGGGGAGTGGGATGGGAGAATGTAAAGTACAATTTCTTTAATAGTTATGGGGCTACTTAATCTTTTATAATGGATAACTTTGTGTTTTTTTGTGGAATTTTTTCCTTCTAAATTGTCAAATTTGTAATTTGTGTAGTTTGTGTTTTTTTGTGGAATTTTTTCCTTCTAAATTGTCAAATTTGTAATTTGTTTAGCGGTCATGGTATTTCCTCATTATCCTTTTGATGTCTTCAAGCTCTGAAGTGGTATCACTTGTTTCATTCCTAGTATGGGTAATTTATGTTTTTTTCTCTGTGTCAATCTTGCTGAAGTTTGTCGATTTTATTGTCTTTTCAAAGAACCAGTTTTTTGTTTCATTGACTTACTTTATTGCCTTTCAGTTTTCAATTCTTTGATTTCTGCTCTTTCCTTTTTTTCTGCTTGCTTTGGGCTTACTTTGCTCTTTTCTAGCTTTATGGTAGAAGGTTAGATTATTGACTTGAGACCTTTCTTTCTAGCAAGCTATATCATTTAGCTTCATCTCACAAAATTTGATATGTTGCATTTTCATCTTTAAGTTCAAAATATATTCTAATTTGCTTTGACATTTCTTCTGACTGTTGGATTCTTTTGGAATGTATTTAATTTCCAGGTAATATTTTCTTACAGATTTCTAGTTTTTTCTGTTATGGTCAGGAATCCCTTTTTTTGGGGGGGGGGCGGTTAAAAAAAAAATGATAGATTTAGAAAACCAAAAGAGGTGCAAATTCAATGGTCTAATATTCCATTTTCTAAATAAATAAGAACAAAGTAAATAGAAAGGTGGAAATAATAAAAGGTAGAAGTCAGCATATATAGGACCGAAGAACAGTGGAGAAAAAATTAGTGAAACTGCTAACTGGTTCTCAAAAGAACAACAAAATCAGTCTAATATCAAGACGGAAAGAAGAGTTACTACTATGGCTCTTACCTAATTAAAAGGATACCTAAAAAAAATTATGATTTTTTATGCCAATAAATGCAGCAATTTAGACAAATTGGAAAGATAAAACTCAACCAAAACTGACAAGAATAAACAAAACCAGAATAGCCTCACATCTATTAATGCAATTCAAATGACTATCCTCCCACAAGGAACACTTTAGTCCCATGGGGTTTCACTTGTAAATTTTACCATTCAAGGAAGAAGTAATAACAGTCTTTCAGAAAACAGAGGGGGAGAGGAACACTTCCAACTTTTTTTATGAGGCCAGGGTTTTAATACTAAAACTTGACAAAGACATTACAAAACAAAATTACAGGGCAGTAGTCCTCACGAACATAGCAGAAATCCAGAAAATATTAGCAGACCGAATCTAATGACATCTATAAAAGATAATAAACCGTTTTCATGTTTTTAACAGATGGTACTGACAGCTAGATATTTATACAGAAAAACAAACACTGCCCTTCACAACATACACAAAAAAATAAAGATGAGTCATAGCCTAAAAGCAGAAGTTTTAACACTTCTAGAAGAAACAAAATCTTTGTGACCTTAGATTAGGCAAAGATTTCCTAGAACATACACACACACAAAAATTAAATTTAAAAATACATCATCCAAAGACTCTTAAGAAAATGAAAAGACAAAGCACAGAATAGGCAAAATTATTTGCAATGTACAGAGCTGACAGAATTGCATGCAGAATGTATAAAGAACTTGCAACTCCCATGTGAACATTTGCATGAAGGAAAAACTGTCACCTGAACATAAAGCAAGGCAGGGCAGCGCACTGTATTAGCAATACTGACTGCATTTTTTCACTGCTGTGCATTTGAGTGTTTCTTAAGGGTAGGCTCACTTAAGAGTGTCTTTGATGAAGCCGTAAAAATTAATTTTTTTATCTCCTCCTACATCTTTCAGAATCTGAGTGATAAAGTGGGAATTAGATAAAAAGCACTCTGCATACCAAAACATGGTTATTTTAATGAAGCAATGCAGTTATTTCAGTTGGAGTCTGAAGTAACCGTTTTCATGAATACCATTTTTACTTGAATAGATAACTAAGACAAACTATGGTTATTGAGTCTATGGTATTTGGTAGACATTTCTTAAAAATGAACAAAGTGAGCCTGTCATATTAACCTGACATTTGTTGCAAATAATAAAATTGTAGCTTTCAAATGAAAATTAGAATTTTGGCAAACTTGTATTTGTCATTGTGAGCTGGACATCTCAATAAAGACTTTTCTGATAATACTGGCGGGAATATTAACAAGCAGGATTTTTTTTTAATATATTGTATTCTGAAATGTGTGTGTTAACATTTTGAAGATTTGTATAAATAAATGGTATTTTCCCATGACAAATGTATGATGCTACAAAATCCTGCATGGGTAAAATAGCCCTTCATTATTGTACCCTGTAACATTAAAATTGTACTAATCTTGTACTCAAGACCAATTTTAATGTTAGAGTATAATAATTTTATTGATAAGGTTTCAGATTCCACGTGGCAACAGACTATTAAGAAGTGATCACTTGTTGCATTGTTGTTAGTGTCAAGAAAGAATATCTACATTATCTAATACTCCTCCTTTCCAGCTACATACTTATTCTCAACTCTAGGTATGAAACTTGAAATAACTTGTCCAATGTTACACAGCTAGAAAATGAGGGGTGGGAGGGGGGAAGCCAGGATTTAAACTCGGACTATCTAGCTAAAGACCCCACCCATACTCTTAGCTGTTAGAATATAACAAACAATGAGTTAGGTATACTCCTGTGTTTGTGCCTAGAGCTGAGATAACACTCCCATTCTACCTTGCATAGACAAGATTCTCTTGTTACTTGCCATGCATGGGTGGGAGCAAGGAGAGAGACATTTAAATCCATTGTAGAAAACAAAGATTGCAGCTAAAGCTCATGCCACTGGTCGTTGTATGCCAATCTAGGGAGATAATGTGGCTACTATTCCTTAATTGTATGACAGAATGGTAGGCATAAGCTGCCCCATTTCTTGCCACCAGTTAAGGACCAGAGTTTTCTTTCATGGGTTGAGGCTTTACATGTTACCCAAGACAACTTTTTTTTTTTTTAAAGATTTTATTTATTTATT